CTATTCCATGTCGATGTCCTCTTTGGGTTTGTAGACGGTGCCGAACTTCTGCATGTACTTCTTGATGTACTCCTTGGTTTTGTGTTTGACGTTCTCGTTGCAGTCCAGGTCCTCCGGGTTCTTGCAGTACTTCAGCTCCTTGTTCATGACTCCGTGGGTCAGCTGCGGGGAGAGGCGGGAGGTACGCATTAGGACACAGTGGACGGAAAAGAACGGATTGTGATTGGCTGAGCTCCTCCCCTTGTAGGTGACACCACAAGGAAAGAAGAAGAATTCCAGGTGTGGATGGATATCTGATGCAGTTACACTGTTCTAGATTGGACCAACTGTGTGGGGAATTCCTCCAGAACTGACTCTCTACACCTTTGTGATATGGAGGAGCCCTTGAAATCATGATGTGGTGTCAGGGAAACCCCCAATAAAAATTACTGCAGCTCACTGTACGTTAGTGTGATGGTCCTCCCACTGACACCAATGAGGGGGCACTATTCCTCCCACTGACACCAATGATGGGACACTATTCCTCCCACTGACACCAATGATGGGACACTATTCCTCCCACTGACACCAATGAGGGGGCACTATTCCTCCCACTGACACCAATGAGGGGGCACTATTCCTCCCACTGACACCAATGAGGGGGCACTATTCCTCCCACTGACACCAATGAGGGGGCACTATTCCTCCCACTGACACCAATGAGGGGGCACTATTCTCCCACTGACACCAATGATGGGGCACTATTCCTCTCACTGACACCAATGAAGGGGCACTATTCCTGCCACTGATACCAATGATGGGGCACTATTCCTGCCACTGATACCAATGATGGGGCACTATTCCCCCCACTGACACCAATGATGGGGCACTATTCCCCCCACTGACACCAATGATGGGGTACTATTCCCCCACTGACACCAATGATGGGGCACTATTCCTCCCACTGATACCAATGATGGGGCACTATTCCTCTCACTGACACCAATGAAGGGCACTATTCCTCCCACTGACACCAATGATGGGGCACTATTCCTCCCACTGACACCAATGATGGGACACTATTCCTGCCACTGATACCAATGATGGGGCACTATTCCTCCCACTGACACCAATGATGGGACACTATTCCTGCCACTGACACCAATGATGGGACACTATTCCTCCCACTGATACAATGATGGGGCACTATTCCTCCCACTGACACCAATGATGGGGCACTATTCCTCCCGCTGACACCAATGATGGGGCACTATTCCTCCCGCTGACAACCAATGATGGGGCACTATTCCTCCCGCTGACACCAATGATGGGGCACTATTCCTCCCACTGACACCAATGATGGGGCACTATTCCTCCCACTGACACCAATGATGAGGCACTATTCCTCCCACTGACACCAATGATGAGGCACTATTCCTTCCACTGATACCAATGATGGGGCACTATTCCTCCCACTGACACCAATGATGGAGCACTATTCCTCCCACTGATACCAATGATGGGGCACTATTCCTCCCACTGACACCAATGATGGAGCACTATTCCTCCCACTGACACCAATGATGGGGCACTATTCCTCCCACTGACACCAATGATGAGGCACTATTCCTCCCACTGACACCAATGATGGGGCACTATTCCTGCCACTGATTACCAATGATGGGGCACTATTCCTGCCACTGATACCAATGATGGGGCACTATTCCTCCCACTGACACCAATGATGGGGCACTATTCCTCCCGCTGACACCAATGATGGGGCACTATTCCTCCCACTGACACCAATGATGGGGCACTATTTCTCCCACTGACACCAATGATGGGGTACTATTCCTCCCACTGACACCAATGATGGGGCACTATTCCCCCCCACTGATACCAATGATGGGGCACTATTCCTCCCACTGACACCAATGATGGGGCACTATTCCTCCCACTGACACCAATGATGAGGCACTATTCCTCCCACTGACACCAATGATGAGGCACTATTCCTTCCACTGATACCAATGATGGGGCACTATTCCTCCCATTGACACCAATGATGGAGCACTATTCCTCCCACTGACACCAATGATGGGGCACTATTCCTCCCGCTGACACCAATGATGGGACACTATTCCTCCCACTGATACCAATGATGGGGCACTATTCCTCCCACTGACACCAATGATGGAGCACTATTCCTCCCACTGATACCAATGATGGGGCACTATTCCTCCCACTGATACCAATGATGGGGCACTATTTCCTCCACTGACACCAATGATGGAGCACTATTCACCCCACTGACACCAATGATGGGACACTATTCCTCCCACTGATACCAATGATGGGGCACTATTCCTCCCACTGACACCAATGATGGGGCACTATTCCTCCTCCCCACTGATACCAATGATGGGGCACTATTCCTCCTCCCCACTGACACCAATGATGGGGCACTATTCCCCCCACTGACACCAATGATGGGGCACTATTCAGATCACATCTATGGTGGAGCAATGCTCTGACCTTGCGGGCGAGGTGCTTGAAGTCCTCGGTGGTGTTGATCCGGCCGATCTTGCAGTCCGGCTTCCTGTAGGGGTTCAGGCACTGCACAATGAACTGCGACATCTGCACGGGAGAAAATACAGCGCACAGCATTTATTCCAGGCATTTCTATGTGACACAAGGCTTTACATACACATCAGTCTGGCCCCAGGAGCTCACAATCTACGGGTCCCTATCTTGCATACTGGGGTCACTAAGGAGCCCAACCTACCAGCGTGAAACATCCTATTGGCTCCGGACACAACTGAAAGAGGACTTCATCTACTGTCTGGTCTGGTGAGCCGATTTAATTGTGGGGGGGGGGGGAGAGAGCTGGGGAGGGGGGGGGAGAGCTGGGGAGGGGGGGAGAGCTGGGAGGAGGGGGAGAGCGAGAGTTTTGGAGGAGGGGGGAGGAATAAGGGAGGAGGAGAGTTTTGGAGGGGGGGGGGGGGGAGGAATAAGGGAGGATAATGGGGGGGAGATGGAGGATAATGGAGGGGGGGGGGGGAGAGATGAGGGAGGATAATGGAGGGGGGGGAGAGATGAGGGAGGACAATGGAGGGGGGAGGGGGGGAGAGATGAGGGAGGATAATGGAGGGGGGGGAGAGGGAGGAGAGGACAATGGAGGGGGGGGGGGGAGAGATGAGGGAGGACAATGGAGGGGGGGGGGAGAGATGAGGGAGGACAATGGAGGGGGGGGGGAGAGATGAGGGAGAACAATGAAGGGGGGGGGGGAGAGATGAGGGAGAACAATGAAGGGGGGGGAGAGATGAGGGAGGATAATGGAGGGGGGGAGAGAGATGAGGGAGGATAATGGAGGGGGGGAGAGATGAGGGAGGACAATGGGGGGGGGGGGAGAGAGATGAGGGAGGACAATGGGGGGGTGGAGAGATGAGGGAGGATAAATGGGGGGGGGGGGGGGGGAGCTGTGGGGGCAATAAAGGAGGTAAAGAGCTTTAGGGGGTAAATGGGGGGGAGAGGGGGGGCGCCACAGGATATGGGTATATCTACAGGTGGGATGGGGGGAGAAGGAGAGCTATGCGGGGGGGTTGAGATAGGGGGAGAGCTGGCAGGGAGGGGTGTGTGGTGGACAGATAAGGGAACGGGAGAGTGAACGTAGTGTCTTCATGCTGTGGGGGGGGGATGGGGGTTAAGATAGGATGACGCTGGCGTGGGGGGAGATAAGGGAGGAGGGAAGTGAGGAGAGCTGGTGGGGGGGTACAGATAAGGGAGAGGGAGAGCTGTGAGAGATAATGGTGAAGGAGAGCTGGGGGGAGGGGGGGATGGGGGGGTGTTTGATAGATGGAGAGCTGGTGGGGGGAAATAGGGGTGGGCAATAGGGGGGGATAAGGGAGGTGGAGAGTGGTGGGTGGGGGTCAGGGAATAAGAGAGGAGGAAAGCTGGGGGGGGGGGGGTTTGAGAGAATAAGAGGAGGAGAGCTGTGTGGAGGTGGGGGGGGGGGGGGGGAATAAGTCAGGTGGAGAGTTGTGGGGGGAATAAGGGAGGGGGAGAGCCGTGGGGGGTATAGGGGTTGGGAAGAAAGCTGGGGGTGGTGCTGGTCTGGGGGGGGGGGGGGGGGGAGGGGTCTGGGGGTCGGGAGTACGCTGAGGTCTGCCACGCCTACACCTCCCCGTGGCACGCAGCGCACCGCCTATCCTCCTTTAGCTGGTTCTGTAGAGATCAGGAACGATGGTGACGCCACAACCAGCAGGCCCGGGATTGGCTGCTCTTCATAGTTCAGGATTCTCGGGGTACACTGATAACAGAAGCTGAAGGAGCCCCCCCCTATAATGACGGGACAGGAGGATGGGCGGGGGGCCGGGCATGGCCTGCTGGACGTACCTCCTTCCTGAACACCTCTTTGCTCTTCTTGGCCAGCTCACTCGATGTGTCCGCTTCTGCCGTTTTAGCCTTTTTGGAAGACTGAAAAAACAAAAAAATGATTTTTTATCATTATACAGGATTTATGGCGCCAACAGTGTGCTCAGCGCTGTACAATATAACGGGAGACAATACTGATCAATACAACATCAATACTGATCGATATAACATCAATACAGATCAATACAACATCAATACTGATCAATACATCAATACTGATCAATACAGATCAATACAACATCAATACTGATCAATACAACATCAATACTGATCAATACAACATCAATACTGATCAATACAGATCAATACAACATCAATACTGATCAATACAACATCAATACTGATCAATACAACATCAATACTGATCAATACAACATCAATACAGATCAATACAACATCAATACAGATCAATACAACATCAATACTGATCAATACAACATCAATACTGATCAATACAACATCAATACAGATCAATACAACATCAATACTGATCAATACAACATCAATACTGATCAATACAACATCAATACTGATCAATACAACATCAATACTGATCAATACAACATCAATACAGATCAATACAACATCAATACAGATCAATACAACATCAATACTGATCAATACAACATCAATACTGATCAATACAACATCAATACAGATCAATACAACATCAATACTGATCAATACAACAGGGATAGGAGGCCCTGATCCTGGGAGCTCACATAGAACTGTCACTGATTGGGAAAGACAAATATCTGTCAGGTTTGTCCCGACTGGTGAACTGTCACACCTTTGCTGGACAGCTTGGCATGGAGGAGAAAACTGGCACCTGATGCCCCCCCGGGTCACAGAAGTATAAATTATTTTCTTTTTGGGGTTTTTTTTTTTTTTCTAAACCCCCTTCCTGCCCATCTCCAGCATCCCATTAACAGGGTTTATATGCTGGGGGTGGGTGGGAATGATCAGCCAATCACGTGATCACACGACTGGGAGCCAGACTTGCCGGCTACTGAACATCTTCTAGGGGGGGGAGTAAACAAACTAAACTAATGTGGTTGCATAAGTGTGCACACCCTCTTATAACTGGGGATATAGCTGTGTTCAGAATGAAGCGATCACATTCACAATCATGTTACATAGGAGTCAGTACACACCGGCCATCATTTACAGAGCCTCTGATTAACCCCAAATACAGTTCAGCTGTTGTAGTCGGCCTTTCCTGACATTTTCTTAGTCGCATCCTACAGCAAAAGCCATGGTCCACAGAGAGCTTCCAAAGCATCAGAGGGATCTCATTTTTAAAAGGTATCAGTCAGGAGACGGGGACAAAAGGATTTCATTGACATTAGATATACCATGGAACACGGGTGAAGACGGAAATCATCAAGTGGAGAAAACATGGCGCAACAGTGACGTCACCAGCAGTGACACCAACAGTGACATCACCAGCAGTGACACCAACAGTGACATCACCAGCAGCGACATCACCAACAGTGACATCACCAGCAGCGACATCACCAACAGTGACATCACCAAAAACTGGATGTTCCTCCAAAATGGATGAAAAGACGAGAAGAAGAAAACTGGTCATCACCAACAGCGACATCACCAACAGTGACATCACCAACAGCGACAACACCAACAGCGACAACACCAACAGCGACAACACCAACAGCGACATCACCAACAGCGACATCACCAACAGCGACATCACCAACAGCGACATCACCAACAGCACCAAAATCTGGACATCCCTCCAAAATGGATGAAAAGACGAGAAGAAAACTGGTCATCACCGACAGCGACATCACCGACAGCGACACATCACCGACAGCGACATCACCGACAGCGACATCACCAACAGCGACATCACCAACAGTGACAAGACCAACAGCGACATCACCAACAGCGACATCACCAACAGCGACATCACCAACAGCGACATCACCAACAGTGACAAGACCAACAGCGACATCACCAACAGCGACAACACCAACAGCGACATCACCAACAGTGACAAGACCAACAGTGACATCACCAACAGTGACATCACCAACAGTGACATCACCAACAGCGACATCACCAACAGCGACATCACCAACAGCGACATCACCAACAGTGACAACACCAACAGCGACATCACCAACAGCGACATCACCAACAGTGACAACACCAACAGCGACATCACCAACAGCGACATCACCAACAGTGACAACACCAACAGCGACATCACCAACAGCGACAACACCAACAGCGACATCACACAGCGACATCACCAACAGCGACAACAGCGACAACACCAACAGCGACATCACCAACAGTGACAACACCAACAGCGACATCACCAACAGCGACATCACCAACAGCGACAACACCAACAGTGACAACACCAAAAACTGGATGTCCCTCCAAAATGGATGAAAAGACGAGAAGAAAACTGGTCATCACCAACAGCGACATCACCAACAGCGACATCACCAACAGCGACAAGACCAACAGCGACATCACCAACAGTGACAACACCAACAGCGACATCACCAACAGCGACAACACCAACAGTGACAACACCAAAAACTGGATGTCCCTCCAAAAATGGATGAAAAGACGAGAAGAAAACTGGTCATCACCAACAGCGACATCACCAACAGCGACATCACCAACAGCGACATCACCAACAGCGACATCACCAACAGCGACATCACCAACAGCACCAAAATCTGGACATCCCTCCAAAATGGGATGAAAAGACGAAAAGAAAACTGGTCATCACCAACAGTGACAAGACCAACAGTGACATCACCAACAGCGACATCACCAACAGCGACATCACCAACAGCGACATCACCAACAGCGACATCACCAACCGCACCAAAAACTGGACGTCCCTCCAAAATGGATGAAAAGACGAGAAGAAAACTGGTCATCACCAACAGTGACATCACCAACAGCGACATCACCAACAGCGACATCACCAACAGCACCAAAATCTGGACATCCCTCTAAAATGGATGAAAAGACGAGAAGAAAACTGGTCATCACCAACAGTGACATCACCAACAGTGACATCACCAACAGCGACATCACCAACAGCGACATCACCAACAGCGACATCACCAACAGCGACATCACCAACAGCACCAAAATCTGGACATCCCTCTAAAATGGATGAAAAGACGAGAAGAAAATTGGTCATCGCCAACAGTGACAACGCCAACAGTGACATGACCAACAGTGACATCACCGAGAGTGACATCACTGAGAGTGACATCACCAAAAACTGGACATCACTCCAAAATAGATGAAAAGACGAGAAGAAAACTGGTCTGGGAGGCGGCCAAGAGGCCTACAGCAACATGAAAGGAGCTTCAGGAATATCTGGCCAGTCCTGGCTGTGTGGTCCATGTGACAACAATCTCCCGTGTTCTTCATATGTCTGGTCTATGGGGTGGAGTGACAAGACTGAAGACTTTTCTTACGAAGAAAACCATCCAAGCCCGGCTAAGTTTTCCAAAAACAAGTCTGAAGTCTCCCAGAATCATGTGGGAAATGTGTTCTGGTCTGATGACACCAAGGTGGAACTTTTTTGGCCATAATTCCAAAAAACATATCTGGCACACAAAAACAACACTGCACATCACCAGAAGAACACCATACCCACTGTGAAGCATGGTGGTGGCAGCATCATGCTTTGGGGATGTTTTTCTTCAGCTGGACCTGGGGCCTTAGTCCAGGGAGAGGGAATTATGAACAGGTCCAAATACCGGTCAATATCGGCACAAAACCTTCCGGCTTCTGCTAGAAAGATGAACATGAAGAGGAACTTCACCTTCCAGCATGACAACCACCCGAGGCATCCATCCAAATCCACAAAGGAATGGCTTCACCAGGAGAAGATGAACGTTTTGGAATGGCCCAGCCAGAGCCCAGACCTGAATCTGATGGAAGATCTGTGGGGGATCTGAAGAGGGCTGTGTGCAGGAGATGACACGCAATCTGACAGATTTGGGATGTTTTTGGAAGGAAGAGCGGGCAAATATTGCCGAACCAGGATGTGCCGTGCTGATAGGCTCCTCCCAAAAAAACTGAGTGCTGGAATCTCATCAAAAGGGGCTTCGAAGGATAAGCGTAAGGGCGTGCTCACTTATGCAACCAGATTATTTTAGTTTTTTATTTTTACTTCCCCCCCACTTAAAAGATTTCAGTTTCAACTGACTTGTACAGTTTATCGGTCACATTAAAGGTGGAAAAAGTTCTGAAATGATTTATCTGTCTCATTTTTTTACATCACGGAAACCTGAGATTTTAACAGGGGTGTGAAGACTTTTTATATCCACTGTATATATTCTGGGAGTGTTTAGTGCAGACGTCACATCTGGAGCAGCAGGAAAGTGAGCGGGGTCTGGACAGAGGACAGAGGAGAAGCAGAGCTGGGGGCCCTGAACAGGAGAAGCCAGCAATGTAACAAGCGGTGTGCAGCATGGGAGCAATATAGTGGGAGGTGAGCAGGAACCAGAGAGAGAGGAGGATCAGCGAACCAGAGGATCAGCAGAGATGGGAGTTACCACTGAGTGTGGGATCAGCAGAGCTGGGGGTTACTACTGAGTGTGGGATCAGCAGAGCTGAGGGTTACTACTGAGTGGGGGGTCAGCAGAGCTATGGGTTGCCATTGAGTGGGGGGTCAGCAGAGCTGGGGGGGTTACTACTGAGTGAGGGATCAGCAGAGCTGGGGGTTACTACTGAGTGAGGGATCAGCAGAGCTATGGGTTGCCACTGAGTGAGGGATCAGCAGAGCTGAGGGTTACCACTGAGTGAGGGATCAGCAGAGCTGAGGTTTAAAAACTGAGTGAGGGATCAGCAGAGCTGGGGGTTACTACTGAGTGAGGGATCAGCAGAGCTGGGGGTCCTACTGAGCGGGGGATCAGCAGAGCTGGGGGGTTACTACTGAGTGAGGGATCAGCAGAGCTGGGGGTTACTACTGAGTGAGGGATCAGCAGAGCTGGGGGTTACTACTGAGTGAGGGATCAGCAGAGCTGGGGGTTACT